GGTCAAATCCCAATTTTCATTGATATATAAGTCTTAGATCAAAAGAAAATAAAAAATGACATTAGCGATTGGAATTATATTTGAGAATAGAGATACATTTAAGGCTGCAATTAAGTATGATACAATTACAAAAAATTGCGAAGTGTGGGTTGTCAAATCTAATTGCAAACAATACAATTTGAATTGTATTCATACAAGAAAAAAGTGACATTTTCATTTTTCACAACTCTAAAATACCAAAGCCTTTGATATCAAAGCCAATAATATAACACACACTTATATAGGAATAAAACACTTCAACAATCAATATGTAATTATTATTTTAGTGGTGTCAATAATTAAATAAAAAATTTAAGATGGTCCAACATATTATTCAATAGAGATTGTTAAAAATCTTTGTTCAAAGTATGGCATTTCTTTAATTTATATATAAGTATAGAGAGGTTGTAAAAAAATATGTAATAATCTTTAACAATCATTTGAAGATGGATATCAATTACTTCTATAATATTAAAAAGAGATGTTTCGATCTAATTTTGAAAGTATAATAATTATTGAATGGAATTTTGGTTACTTTGATTGCATTCTTATAGTATTTTATTGCTAGATTGTATGATTTTATATATTATTATTTTTTAATTGGTATTAATAGCATACATCTTAAAGATAGATATCTAAAAATTATGCAAGCAATAACTAATATTGATGCAAAAGGAGAATTATCTTTTTTTACTTTTGTAGTTGTGGATATAAAATTTGATGTCAATTAGATGCAATACTTGCAAAATTTACACATTTCTATCAAATAATAGGATGAATGCAAATACAATTTTTTTTATTACCAAAAATAATTGATTGATAGTATTAAAGAATAAGTTTTATAATTTTATTACACCTTTAGCATGTACCATCTTATGAAAAATAATCATAAAATATTCTACAATCTTAAGTTGATATAATACTTGTAGAAAGTAATATCAACTATAATAATTATAGAATTTGATTGTCATTATAAAAAAATAAAAAATATTACTGAAGTAGCAAAAAATAGCTATAAGATATTGAAAACATGAAATTTTGGAAATCAATACATTTTCTAGGATGTTACTATAATAAATTTATTTTTAACATTACCAAATATTTCAATAAAATATTTCTCGGAATTTGGAAGTTACCAATTTTTCAATTGTTTAAATGCTTTTGTTTATATTTTATAAAATAGATTGATTTACAACCTCAAATAATGCAAAAGGTATTTAGAAATATCCTTTGATAACCATGAATATTCTAAGTATACATCTAATTCTCCTAAGTACATCCTATTAATCTTAAAAAAAATCCAAAATATATCTTATCTCACTTTAATAAATTTCAATTAAATCTTGAATAATCTAAACTCATTTTAATTAAATCTATATCAAATCATAGTCAAATCTTAATCCAATAATATTAACTTATAATTCTATTCAAATCTTAAGTAAATTCTAATCAAATTCTCACCAAATTCTATTCAAATTTAAAAAGAATCTTAACCAAATTCTAATAAAATCTTCTTAAAATCTTCATCAAATCCTAATAAAGTCCTAATAAAATCCTAAAAGAATTAAAATAAAATTCTAATCAAATTTTAAATAAATCTTAATCAAATCCTATAACAAATTCAAAACTTCAATAATTAATAATATAATCATTGATATTAACTTAAAATTTGTAAATTCCTCAATTTCTTAGTTGAATATAAGTGCAACAAACTTGAAGAAGATTGAACTTACTAAATGGAAAGAAAACCTCATAGTTTGTTTAGTTGTCAACTAGCCTTCTTTTCCAATCTTTAAGCTGATTTCTAAGCACTAATGTATTTTACTTTTATTTTCAAATTGCTCTCAAAATTTGCAAAATTGTTGGAAATCAAGTTTTCTATTATTATATCTAAATTTATTTCAATCCAATTTTTAGTTGTTGAAAATCATATAAATCCTCATTGGCCTTCTACATTCTAATTTTAAAAGTCTAATATATTTAAATTTTGATAATTTTTAATTAACTTATTTAATCAAGCTCAACTTTAATATAACTATAATTAAAAATCTAAAAATTTTAAACTATAGATCTCACAAATCTACTACAAATCTCACAAAATACTTCAAAGTATAAACTTTTTTATTTTACAAAAATCAAAGTTATTTCAAAACAAGTATGACTTTGCAAAGCTCTTAGTAAGTCATTACAAACTAGAATAGCTTAAAATCAATGCCTAATATATTGTTCTATTGTTTGCTTTCAAATGCTACTATTTGATCAACAAAAAAGCCTCAAATTTAGTATAAGATTAGAGTTTTGTGCCTTGGAATTTGATTTTGATCTTGATCATAACCACTCCTCTTCAAGTATCAATACATAGTTTTTATTAGAAGCTATGATTTACTTATACTTTAAGATGCCCATAATACTAATTTTGATATTTTATCTTATCTTTTCTTATTTATAGCTATACAAAGTGAATAGAAGCCCATTTTATAAAATAAAACATTAGTATTTATTAATTTTATTACCTCCTTGACTATTATCTATATTTCTAAAGTAATTTGCTATTATATTTTGAAATAAGATCTTCTATAATGAAATTTTTTCTTTTCTCTTTTACTCATTAGTTGTATTACAACATAATATCAAACATCCTAAGAAGCAGTGCATTTGAATATAAGATGTTGGATATTAAAAGTATAAATATACTTTTGATAGATGCAAGAAGGAAGAACATACTTAAGCAACTTACAAAGAATCTTGGACCATTAGTAGCAAAGAAGCCTATTAAACAAGTTTTTTTTTTTTTTGACTAAATAGAGAAGTAGCAAATCTAAAAAATTGAGTATTTTCTGGATTTAGGACTTGCACTTGCTTCTATTAAATAAATTTAAAATTATTTTTAGATAACATTTAGTGTCATTCATGCATTTCATAGCTATACATAATAATTTTAGTTTGATTTTTACTTGGTGTTTTAAATTGCTTATTGTGGATTCTTTTTCTTTTGACGAGCATGATAAAAAAAATTACCAAGGACTAAAAAATCAATTGTTATTGAAATAGATTTAACTAACCTTTTATCAAATTTCATTTTATTCTTTCTTTTAAATACTTTTGATTCTAGTTGTTTGATGTTTTGTTTTGTATTGTATTTTTTTTTCTTATGTTTATATAGTGTTTTTAATTGGAATTTGTATTGTAGCATGCATATATATATATATATATATATATAATTTTTTTCTGTTTTGTAATATGTTGTAAAAACATTAATACAATAAAGGGTCTGAAGGAATATTTTAAAGAAAAAAGTAAACTTCCAAAGTCTTTAGAGCATCTATAGAAGCAATAAATTAACGCCAATTGATTTACTCACAAACATTTGAGCTTCATTAAAATTGGTAACTTCATTAAAATTAGTAACCCTTTAGGATAGATAAAGTTACATTTGATGCTACACATTCTGCCATGGCCAAAACCAACGACTAAATCCTCAAATGAGATTTTAGCAAATCTGCTTTAAGTCACAAGTTTAAAAAACGGTCTATTAATCTTTTACCAGTAGCCACACACAAGGTGCAAAAATTTGCACTGAGTACAACTATTTTTCATACCAATTACCAGTTATAATATCTAAGTATTATAAATTCATATAAATTAGAAAACTATACTTTTAAACTTTGTTTTCTAGTTTTTTATTTTTTTGTAAGAATTCAAGGTAATATGTGATTTTTTATATAAGATTTAACCAAAATTAAAATTTATAAAGTAATTACTTAATGTCATATATTTTTATTATATGTTTAATATCTGGTCTTTATAGAATAGAAATTAAAATTTTAATAATAATGTTAATAATGAAATAGAATGTTTTACTAAAATTATAAGGGTGGTATTTAAACCAAAATAAAAGAAGACAAAGATGAAGACACCAATAATTCTATAGACCAATTGAAGTTCTAAATGTTTATTTTAAGATGCATTGTTAGACTATATGTATTAATTTTGAAGTATATGTAATAAAATTAGAAAAAAAAATTGATTTAATATTAAGTTTTGTTTAAAAATATGATAAGAAGTTATACTAATATGATTAATTTGACATATATAGATAGTAGTATATATACAAAGGGCAAAAATCTCTTCAAATTCATTCTCTTGTCATTATCTTTTTAAGTCTTGTAAACGAAAAATAATCCCGTATAGATTTTGAGAAGATTTTCAAGTCTAATAACTTCAGGACTAAATTGCATCTTTTCTCTATACATTAGCCTTAAGCCTAAGATGTTAAAATTTGTAAAAAACTTTATAGTGAAAATAATTTTTTTATTAAAAATATATTCTTGCATAGATTTAAAAGATTTTGTAAAATTTGGTTCTTGGTCACTTGATAATATTCATAGATCATTTAGATTTAGAAAAGTACCTTAATATTTAATGAAGAATATTAAATAACCTTCTCATTTAAAATTATTATTTTTTTCGTTATAGAGTACATGCTTTTGGGTCAGCCCCCTCCCCTCAAGTGGAGGTGAAGGAGACGAACACCCTCCCTTGGACAGAATTATGAGAACAATTTCCACATGTGAATGGGTAACACAAACCTACTTTAATACAATAAGACAAAGACACCAGAAACGCGACCGAAACTGAAGGGAGGAGGGAGGAAGGGAGGCTGTGGGAGGGAATAAAACCTGATAAAACCGACACTGGTCTGCAACGAAGTTCGACGCTTCCATGAAAGCTCCCTCATGTCCTTACGAAAGTACACGCACAGAGACACAGTAAATATAATAAAAGTGGTGTCTTGCCCCCACGATCTAGGACCCATCAGTAATCTCCTGAGGGGTGGGCAAATGGGGGAGGGAAAGGGAATGAGGAATTGGAACACGTGAGTTTTGAATAGCCAGCACGTTTTCCGCTCACGGCTGTCACCAATGCCCATCGTCACCTCCAAGCACATCCTTTTTGTAGCCTTCTCTTTGATCGCACATGTCCCTCGACACGTGTGGGGCCAGGCCTCGGCTGTGGGTTACACTCTTTTGAGTTGTAATATTTGCTAGTAGAGGAGTCGTCGTGATGGACGATGCCCACACCCAAGTGAGTTGGTTCCATGCCTGCAGTGTAGTGCCGGAAACCTAATGCCGTTTCATGCTGGGTCATTCGCCTTTTAGATTTTCGATTCTGAACCTGCTATATCCAACCCCCCCCCCCCCTGTCGGTCGATCCATGTGCAGGTTCCATTCGATACGTTTGAGGTGTTTGTGGCGAGCGGGTACTAGTAGAGGATTTAATCGCTTGTGCTCGTGTTGGAAATATGTCGGGCAAGTTTCTGAGGTTCAGTTCTGCTTGCACGCGAGACCTGCAGGAGATTTGGGCTCGTAACCATGCCGCTGCTTCCTGTGCAGTCTCCAGCGACACAGTTGATCCTGAAATCTGACCAGTATAAGCGTCTGTGCAATCAGTTGGATCTCCGACAATAGCAGTATTTTGATATTGGTTTGAATTCTTTTTGTCACCGCGATAGTCTGAGGGTTGATTCCTTTCAAAATCTTTAAGAGCTGTTTGGCCGTGGTGGCGCACTACTATTGGCAGAAATTTCCACTTTCACTTCATTGATTAGAGAGGTTTATACCGACAGCTACATTCTTCTACGCGAATTATGTTTTTTATATCTATCACCACTCTCATGCCTAAGAACATTGGTTAGCAGCCAGTAAAGTTGACGTAGGCTGGTGCACTTTGTAAGTCATTTAGGAGGACGCTGGAGCGCAGGCTGAGTGCAATGAATTGAGGATTCTATCAATTTGAATCTAGCAAAGAGGATCAACCTGGAGTCTTTTTGCCCCTGACAGCACAAAAGCTAGTCATACGAAGTGTAGACTAGAGCTGTAACCGATCTCCATGGAGAAGGAAAGCTCCTTCAACGCGCTGAGAGAATTAGTCATTGGTGTTGAATGGACTTATAGAATCATATGGAAGCTCGAGCTCAATCAAAGGTATCACAAACCTAAGCGTCCCAAACGCTCAGTTTAGTTCTGAATGATATAATTCAATGCACAATTGCCAAATAACTGTCAACAACTGTCGTGTGTGTAGGAGCTTGATTTGTTACCAGAGTTATTTCAATGAAAGAGAAGCCACGGAAGTTGATCAAGCTCAAGAATTTCAGCTTGTGTATTGCTCGCGCCAGTTCGCGACCTCTAGACCTGGGTACGTCCAATTGCTGCGGATCTTTTCGAAAAATAAACCCTCTCATTTTGTTAAAATTTACGAATATGTCATATAGTCATTCTGGGCCAGGTTTTTGGTAACATCGACAGCATTCTCTTCTATCCTACATCATCAGACTGTATTCTTGAGTTGCAAACTCAAAATCTAGTTTGAAAACGTTCTTATCATCGCTGAGTTAAGTCCTTGAGATCATGAACAGTTTTTAGGTCATGTTGGTTGAATGTGAACATGAATTAAAAAACAGTAACTCTTGAAGATTCTGGTATTAAAACTAACTTGGCAGGTATGCATACAACGCTTGGAAGCAGCAATCATCGTCCTGGTGGACACCACAGCTAATGCAACAAGTTCCCACAGACGAGAACAGAGATCTCTTCTTAAGGGTAAACATATTCCCTGATATGTCAATGGACTTTTCTTCAGCTGAATTTGATGATACTCACCTGCTCTATTTCTGAAGCTCTGACGTTGGCTTCTCTTATTATTGTCTCTGTCCCTACGGCGATCCTCAACTAGAAAGCTGGAATTCAGGTACGCTTTCGTGATATACACCGACAGCATTCTCCGCGTCAAAAGGATATCAAATTAAATAAAAATATCTCCGGTGCTCTAGTTCTAAGAATTCACAAATGCATGCGTAACACAATTGGAACATTCGCACGCCAGTTTAAAGAGTCTTCCCTCACGAGGAGTTGGTGTTGCTGCAGACTCTTGTGTGCTTTCCAGGTCGCACAGATGATGGTATCGGCTATTGCGTTGAGTTGGCCACCAAAGCTCAGGTGAATAAGCATTATTCCTAGATTGGCCCAGCTCCCTAACTCTTTTGGCTACGAAAGCGCTTCTGAAAGAGCGTTTCCCACCTCTCTATTTATATATAATTATTTTCGACTGCTGTAGACTTGAAATACATTCGCAGCCAAGAGGAAAAAGATAGAACGGAATGGTTCAGGTGAATTTTATATTGTGGAAATTCATCCCCGGATACCGAGTTTCTGTCAATCGAGTCACTGTTTTCTTTCGAATCCCCTGTATAGAATGCTACGTGTTCTGTGTCTTTTGTCCGGTGTGCTTGGCTGAGAGCGAACCAACTGTCACTGGGATTTATTTTTTTAGAAAGAATACTTACGAAGGATGGTCCCAGCATACTTGGGGATTGCGTTAGCATCCCCCGCAGAGCCGGCGGGAACGTCGAGACTACGTCATCCTGGTGCTAGTTTGTGCTCAGCAAGCGTCGGAAGTGTGTCAGATACTGTAGCACCACGTGGATGGGTTTTGGTTTTACCATTTCTGATTCAAGAGTCGCCTATGCTGATTGGCTTGAAGTCATGTTGTGTTTCAGGTCCGATTATGGTTGTGATTTTTAATGGCGATTGATTCTGCGTGTGAATCATATTTGTTTAGCTGATGTGAGGACTCGATGGAATGTTGAATTATTCTTCTTCCGATTAGATTTCGGACGACATGCTGTGTGTGTTTCTGGGTAACTCACCTGAGAACATTGCTACAGTGTACTCATCAGAAAATCTTTTTTCAGGTTTGACTATAGGCCTTTTCCCTCCTTGGACTAGCTCGGTAGTCAGATCCGCTGCAAAGAAAACGAGTTGACAAGGGCGGTTTTGTTCTTCCGTTCGTCCAGAAAGTATTTGAACGTAACCAACACTTGAACACTGACATCTTGAATGTAGACCGATGTTCGGCCTTGATCCGTCGAAGCGAGTAAATTGAATCATGACCAAGGTCGTAAAATTATAAAATCTGTGCGTATGAGGATTGTAGACCACGCAGGGCCACAGCAGAGCACGTTCATTATTCTCAGAGCTGTAATCGTGGAATTTTTTTGACAGATTTTGGAAACCGACACATTGCGGAGCTTCATCCAGGGATTTCTCTACTCCTCGATTGCACCACACATCCAAGAAGAAAAGGTGCTGCGGAAAGTGGGAGGGAGAATTGAGGGTTTTCCTCAAGCGTCCAGGACCGTGACACTACCTATGGAGCCCGTGGAGCATAATTCACCTTGGGCGATGACAGTCTTGCAAGCTAATGCGAATCTGGGACAACCAAGTGTAGGAATCCAAGAACTGAAGTATGTAGACTTTCCAATCCATAACTCACAGTTAGACTTGGGATCAATTGATCTTCCGGACATAATTGGTAGAGATAGCCCGAATCGAGACCCAAGTACTGCATTTCTATTCTCGACGGAATGGATGACCGCCGGAGGTAAAGAAATTGCTGGAGAAGGAGGAATACATCTAGAGAATCTTGCAGGCACACCAATTGACCTACAATTACGGAAGAAAATAGCAATAGAAAACTTAGATAAAATTCTTATGGAAATTCCTGATGAGCAATTGCAAGCTAGCCCATCTCTACAAACTAATGGCGGGATTTTAGACACTACAATGACTTCGCCGGGGAGCTCCTTTCACCAAAATTCGCCAACAGGTATTGGAAAAGTGGGTCAGGTTCCTCCAGGGCACAGCTCGAAGTCTTTGTTTCGACCCCGTCGGAAATCCTCTTTCGCCCGATTAAGCAGCTCGTCTAAGAGGCAGCCCATGATACATAACTGGGCGAAGAATTTGGCGCCGAAGATAGTGGAGTTGCAACGGGAAGCTCAACCATTGACGTTGCCCGACTTTAATGCGTATGAGAGTCCAGGATACAGCCCTCATGAGCATTATCAAGCTGTAGCCCACAAACTGGCAGAAAGAGATCGGAGGTTCAAGTTTAACCAAAGAATGCAGACCTTGATCTCCATTGTGCCCATCATCAGCAAGGTAATCAACCGATTCCCTAAATTCACCTACCAAGTGCTCAATATTTCAAGGACTGACCTCACTGCCCTAAGCCTTAATCGTGTTATTGACACACTGACAAATTCACTCGTGCATCCGCAGAAGGACAAGGTGTCAGTACTTACAAGTACCATCGCTTACATCCACCAACTGACTTCTCGAATCTCAAGATTAGAAAAAGGGGAAGAATTACCTGCACAACCACAAGCGCCAACAATGGAAACTCCACCACCTCTTGATGCAGCAGGTGTTTCAACATTAGAGAGAGTTAACCAGCAGACTTTTGTAAGTGACGAAGCTGGAGCTGGTCGGTCATCCCCTTCCTGGCCCTCTGTCTTAGTTGATGAAGACGACGATGATTCAACGTTGATCATCAAACTGGAGGCTAGCAACAACAATATCTCCCTGATCCAATTGCTCAACTTGTTACTTGAGCTGGATCTTCGAATCCGCACCCTCGATTATGTTTGCACGGATGGCCGATTCAGTGCCAAAACACGCGTCAAGGTATTACACTAATCCTGCAATGCCGCTAAGTCATGAAATAGTCTTGGGGACTTTCCATTTTCTGCTGCATCTCCTTTCTTCGAACCTAGTGAATTGATGCGACAGTTTATCTCGGCAATATCAGGACACATGACACAATGCAATTATTTTATTTTATTTTCTTTCAGTTTTTGTTTTTGTTTTTTCTTTTCTTTTCTGAACGTTGATTATCCCTTCTGATTTCAGAATTCAAAGACGAGCAATAAGGAGATCCAGGTGACGCTTCAAAGATTTCTTCGCATAAAGGAATAATTCAACCACCAGGTGGACTAGCTGTGCTCATCTCCTAGATCTGTGCAGAAACTAAAAATCCAAGTTCATAGTTACGAACTCATGAATATTGGATACTTGTTCCTAAAATATTTATTCTCCTTCTCGTTAACGGTGGATAACAAATTGCTGTAGATCTGCTCGGGACTGGGCTTCGAACTGTTGTCAGCAGATCTTTCACGGAGTTGTTGTGTGAACTGAGTGTGAACGAGTTCTGCGTGGCACTGCAAGAATGTTAGTTTCATTCGGAGCTAGTTTGGGCGAGGAATGGATACAATGAAAGCTTGAGATTGCTGTAGCAACTGCAGCTGATGTGAATTCCAGCGCCGTTTGAAGAGTCTTGGACTCCACAGACTTGGAAATCTGTTCATGGCAGTTGCCATACTGTAGCGCTATATGAATTGAAAACAACTAGTTTAAGAGAGTAAATTTATTTAAGGCATTTTTGGTTTAAAGATTGGTATTTGCAAAACGGTTGGGGGAAAAATGTTTGCAATAAATCAGCAAATGTTTATGTTTTTAGTGGCAAACTGTTAGTTTCAAAGTGTAATTCACTTGAATGTACAAAAAAACATTGTGTAATTTTCTTGGATCAAATTGATGCAATGAAAAAGAGGTTGGATACATTTCAAAAGGAATTGTATACTAGAAATACATGAATTCTATTTTTTTTTTTCAAAGATTGTCTTTGCTCTAAAAGAAAATGTTATACTACATATACATGTAACAGAAAGTGTAAAACTTTGTTTATTATAATCAATAGAATACATGTTCTTCTAATTTCTCCTACAATAGTTTTATCTTGTATTTTACCTACTTAAGATAAATGTAGCACAACATGCTTGCTTGTTATTTAAAATTTCACCTACAAAAGTTTTTAAGAGGTGGGTTCAGTCTTTTTAGCCTTATATTATTGGAAGACTATAAGTAGTGCACTTGTAATATGGTTTTTATCTTGAATAAGGTAAAAATTCACATCAAGCAATTATTTAAAAAATAAAGTATTTATGAAGGTTTATATAATTTATAATAAATTTTTATTAATATTTATTTATTCTTATACTTTCTTATTTAATTATGGATTAATTTTATGTTTAATTCCAGAAGTGGTTATTAAATTACATCCAGAATTGGCATGTACTTTGATAACATGAAAATTACTACTTTGAATGCACATTTAATATAACCACTTTAATTTCATATTTAATATAACCAATTTAATGATTTTTAAAACTTTAATTGAATATTGCATGCAGTTATTTTTCAATATTCTAGTCTATTTTTCCAATTACCATTCAATGAATTTAATTTTAGATTTACTACGCTATTAGATTATTTAGATTAACTTTAATCCTGATATTAAAAAAATAAAAAATAAAAAATAAAAAATAACTTTTAACAAAAAATCAGTTTTAGATGTAGTAAATTCTAATCTTAAATCAAAATTCTAAAAAAAATCCATGAAGATCTTAAATATAAAAATTTAAACTCTAATTATATTAGAAAATAATTATAATAAATTTTAAGTTAAAAAGATCCAGTCATATGAAAATCTGATTATATTAATTACAATTCTAACAATTAATACAATTAATAAAATTATAACAAGTCCTAAATACAACAAACTTAATTTAAAAACTTAATTCTAGAAAAACTAAAATTAATAATTTTAAACTTAAAAATCTATAAGAAGTAATTATTAATAGAATTAAGCTAATAATTTTTTTGATGAATTAGAAATAATTTAATTATGTACCATAAAAATTTTAATAAAAAATTATTTTATTTATTTATTTTTTAATAAAAAAAAAAAAATTAGAAACTATCATAGCTTCATTAATAAACATAATTAAGCATTACTTGTCACCTAAAATTGTTTTAAAATCAAAAAAATATGTTCCATCCTTAATGCTATCTATCAATTATACTTGCTCCTTCTACTTGTCTATAACAACATCTTTATTGGCACCTAATATTGCCAATTGCATTGGCTTTTTTTAATCAACTACTTTAGAGCTTAAATTCTATATAAAAAATACTACTTATGTATAATCTGCAATTTAGACATTTTTGCTTTTGCAAATAAGTGAATGATTTTTTAATCTATATTTTTTTGAGTTCTAGCTATAAAACCAAGAGAATCATACTATTTAGTTTTTTTTAAAAAAAAATATTAGTATTCTAATCTTCAAACTTAGAATGTATAATATTTTTCAATTATTCTATTAATTCTTTTTATCACAAGTAAGAGTTGATATAGATCGGTTCAAATTGTTGAAATGAAAAAATCAACTATATTAAATAATTTGATTTGATATATATTTTTAAAAATATTTGGTATATTTTTAGAATAATTTGATAAGAGGTCAAATTGGTTCTAAATCTAAATCAATTCTAAAGTAGCATTGCAATACATTACTACTGCAAGCTAAGTAATTTACTCTAGATCATTGTCTATTCTTGTTGTTGCATTGTTGTATTGCAACCTACTTTATTAGTAATCTTTGTGATCTTGTACCACAACCTTATTTTTTAGTTGTACTTTTATATTACTTTCAATTTCTACCTAAATAACTTTTAAATAAACTTGGAATGTACATCTTCACAAATAAAGAAAAAGTTGCATATTGATATATACTTAGGATTCTATTCACATGAATAAAAATCTTAGTTTATAATTGCCTATCTTATTACAATCTTAATTTTTTTCTATATCCATCTTTTAAAAAATATTCTTTCATCTTTATAATTTAATCCCATTCATATAAATAATAAGATGCTAAAATAAGATGACTATTATCAAAATTTTATTTTGTAATATTCTATGTTCTTATGCAATTGTACTTATTTACTTATATTATATTTTAATAACTTGTAGTAATTACTTCTAAACTTGTGTTTTATAAATTTCATCTATGTCAATGTCAATTATTACTTTACAATTTGCCTCTTGCACTAAACTATGCCAATAGATTGGATACAAGAAAATGAAAAAAAAAAAACTTTAATTCGAAATTTGTGTCAAATGCAAGAAGTTTGAGCATCTAATATCACTAATAGAGCCAAATATTCCATTGGAGTTAAAGAACACAAAATAAAATTGCCTAGTACTTAGCACCAAAGCACAGAGAAAGTACTAGAGCACAAGAAAATGTACGTGCTAGCCTAGATTTGAAAGTTAAAATCTACTACTAATAAATACATGAATGGTGCACATTATGTGCCTTAACAAGCATGTTGTCTTAGGTGGATGTCAGGGACAAGAACTCGATGAAAGCTAAAGAGTAAGTGAGACTTTTCTCAAAAAGAAATAGGACAAAATAGAAATATGTATATTAAGAAAGAAACTGGAATGGCTATTGCCAAAATACAAGAAAACTAGAGACCCTTGAAACTAGACTAGAAGCAAGAAAGGAGTTGACAAGAGTGAAGAGGGCTTCACTCTTGCCTCTATATATACTATCTAACTAGAAGCCACGTGGCGATGTTCTATAAGACCTCCAATATATGTTGACTTTCTAGGCCACATGCCTTTGCTTGCAAGGCAAGTTTTCTATGGATAGACCATGTAGTTAGCTTGTTCTTTAAGCTTCCAACATGCGTGGCACATGGCTAACTTGTTGACCAAGTTTCTAACCTAAAAGTCAACTATAGACTCCTATAAAGTCAAAGCAGCGTCTATGAAGCTTCTAAGAAGCTTCTCTAGAAGATATTACACAATTAACCTACTTTTACATACTTTTATCTATTCATATAGGTAATTATATGTATGTCCGTGACATTACCCCCCCTTCTAGGGACGAGTTCCACGAGGAGCGGTGATTATATATTGAAAAAATCTAATATGCGGCGAATTGTATTTGCTACATACTCTGATCTTTGTTCTCTTCGAAGATAGTTGATGGGTCCTCTTAGCCATCGATAGTGTCCCATTCCAGGGCGAGAAGACCACCTTGTTATTTGATCACTGTTGAGGCCTTCATAACTTCCTTCAAATAATACATTTGAAACACCATCAGGAGTCGTTCCTATCTCCAATAATATCACCAAACATCGAGAATCTCTTCCAAGGTCGTGATACCAAACGCGTTGTATCTCACCATCTATTCGAGGAAGAACATGTCGTTCTTGAGGGTCTTCATTTCGGTTGCGTCGTCTTGAAGGTTGTGACAATCGCAATGTCTCATCCGGTAAGTCAGCAAACGAAGGTTCTTGAGTTGAATCCGCTGGTTGTTGGCTCTCCATCTAATTAGCGTCACAAAATGCAAAGAAGTTGCAAATAAGGATAGGAAATTGAATGTTATCTTGCCTCAATCTTGTCTCTTTTATAAGAGAGGTTTTCATCTTGGTTTTGATGGATGTCGTTGATGAAAAACTTTGACTTTAGCTGATGCATTTGCTAGATTCTTGGATGGCTCCCATGTGCGCTCACTAATATCATATCCGCACCAATGAACAAGATATTCCAGCTTATTTCGGCGCCGCCTTGAGTCTAATATCTCTTCCACCTCAAATTCTTCATTATTATCTACTTCTATAGGAGGCGGTGGCATTTGTCTTCTTCCTTGTATATCCACTGTCTTATATGGTTCAAGAAGAGACACGTGGAATACAAGATGGATCTTCATTGACTCCGGTAGATGTAACCGATATACAACTGGGTTGATCTGTTCAGAAACAGAAAAGGGGCCAAGCCTACGATAGTCCAATTTGTCACAAGGTCGAGTGGTCTTGATATTGCGACGAAGTAGCCATACCTTATCACCCACGTTGAATTGTGGTTGCTCTTTACGATATACATCTGCATTTATCTTTTGTCGTTCTTGAGCTTTCTTCAACTGCGCCTTCATTATTGCATGTAACTCTGACAACCGATTTGCCATATCTTCTGCTGCAGGATTATCAACTTTTGAAAAATCAAAAGTATCAAGTCGTGGATGATAGCCATAATTGGCAAAGAAAGGTGTTTGTTGCGTGGAGGAATGTACCGTATTATTATAAGCAAACTCTGCCAATGGCAGAAGGTTTGTCCAATCATCTTGTTGGTAGTTGATGGTACACCTTAAATATTGTTTCAAGACTTGGTTTACGCGCTCTGTTTGTCCATCAGTTTGAGGATGGAAAGCTGAAGATAGCTTTATGTCCACTTTTAAAATCTTGAAAAGAGTCCTCCAGAATCTCGACACAAATTGAGTTCCCCTATCCGATATGATATCTTTAGGTAATCCATGATAGCGATAGATATTATTAATGAAAAGCTTAGCTGTTTCTTCACCTGTGATAGATTTTGTACATGGCATAAAATGTGCCATCTTGGTGAAACGATCTACTATCACAAATATAGAATCATAAGATCTTGAGTTTGGAAGATCTGTGATGAAATCCATAGAAACAGAAGACCATGGTTGTTCTGGTATAGGTAATGGCTGAAGAAGTCCGTAAGGTCGATGTCGAGGAATTTTAGATCTTGAACAAATATCACATGATTGTACAAAGTCTTTGACTGACTTCCACATTTGTGGCCACCAAAAATCTCTTGATATGAGTTCCAGAGTCTTATTATATCCAAAGTGCCCTGCTGCTGGAAAGTCATGACGTGCTTGAAGAACACGCAAACGTGCTTTTCCTTCTGGA